CAATTAGTTTTTGTTTTAGAAAATTTAAAGCTTTTGGCAAGCGACCATTTCTGGATTTTATTGAGACACAACTGCAGTTGTCTCTCAATAGTGTTCATGTTTTTCCCGCGACAAGAAATGTTAAAGTCGTCTACAAATAGCGACCCATCAACGAAATCATTCAAAACTTTTGACAGACCATTTATCTTGATACTAAATAATGTAACAGACAAAATACTGCCCTGTGGGACACCCTAATCCTGAGTATAATGGTCAGACAGGGTTGAACCCATTCCGACTTGAAATTGTCTGTCTGTTTAACGGCCTCTCAAACCAAAATCATGTCAATCCTTTAGAATGCCATGCTTCCAAGTAGTATCATAGGCCTTTTCCAGATCGAAAAAGACTGACACTACATGCTGTTTGTTTACAATAGCATTTTTCACAAAGGATTCCAAACATACTAAATGGTCGATAGTACTTCTATTTTTTCGGAAACCACACTGGATATTGGTAGTGAGATTATTGGTTTCCAGATACCAAATTAATCTATTATTCACCATTCGTTCCATGGTTTTGCACACGGAACTTGTTAAGGATATAGGTCTATAGTTAGAGGGATCTGTATGATCCCGGCCAGGCTTTGGTATTGGAACTACAATGGCATTATGCCACGAAGGAGGGAAATTCCCAGATATCCATATTTGATCAAATATATCTAAAAGTGTCTCCAGACAGGATTCAGGTAAATGTTTTAAAAGCTGATAATGTATGTTGTCAGCACCCCTTGCTGTGTCATGAGCTTGCCCAAGGGCGGTGTGTGGCTCATGTAATGAGAAGACTTCATTATAGTCTTCACCATTATCAGAAGTGAAATTTAATTTGATCTGTTCCTGTTGTTTCTTAATTTTTTGAAACTCCGGGAGATAATTAGATGTTGAAGAATGTTTTGCCAACGTTTCTCCAAGCTTATTTGCAATGTCAGTTTTATCCGTTAATAACCTGTCATCATCCTGAAGATGATGAACAGAAAATGTTGAGCCTTTGCCTTTTATTCTCTGAACCATGTTCCACACCTTGGACATGGGCATACGGGAATTTATTTTCGAGACATAGTTCCTCCAAGATTGACGCTTATTCTGTTTAAAAGCACGTCGTGCCTTGGCATTTGTAATTTTAACTCTATATTTCTGCTTTCTTCCTACACTTTCTGGCCTGTTTGCAGTCATTTGTAAACCATGGCTTACGAATATGGGGATTTGCAGAGGACTTAGGAATGGTTTGGTCAGCAATGTCATTCAGGAAGTCCGAAAACAACTGTATCGGATCTGGAATATTCTTGAAAATGTCTTGTTTTAATTTGTCAGTACACAGTACCTCGTATAAGGACCAATTGGCCTTGGTAAAGTTCCACCTGGATGACGGTGGCTCATCAGTAGGGTTAGCAGTCTTAAGGATAGTGGGAAAATGATCACTCCCGCAGAGGTCAACATGGACTGACCATGCAAATTCATTATACAAGTTTGAGTCTGTGAGTTACAGATCAAGGGCAGAATAAGTTTCAGTGGCTGGATGTAAATAGGTGCTGGAATCATCATTAAAGATACATAAGTTATTGTCAGAAAGAAAATCCTCAATTAGTTTTCCTTTATTATTAGCATTTGTACTTCCCCACAACGGGTTGTGTCCGTTCAGATCACCCATGATAATGCAGGGCTTTGGAAGTTGATCATATAGATTTTGAAGATCAGATTGACGAAGATCAGAGGAAGGCGGAATATATAAGGAGCACAACATAAAAGCAATGTGGAGAGTCAGACGAACAGCAACAGTTTGAAGATTTGTATTAAGAGGGACTAGGCTATGTATGATGCCCTGCCTCACCAGGATAGTTGAGCCTCCTGTTGCTTTATCTCCAGGAGGAGAAAAGGAATGATAATCATCGTACTGTCTGAAAGTAAACTTATCTGTACTTTTGAGGTAGGTTTCTTGAAGACATAGTGCTGACGGCTTTAAATCTTGTATCAATAATTGGATCTCATTGCAATTATGTCTAAGTTCTCTGCAATTCCATTGCATTAGATTTGGCAATTGAGTCATGGTGGCTCAATTGGAGATATTTCACGTGAATGTGAGGAGGAACTACTCCTCTGCCTGTCCTGTGAGGACAGGGTGACCTCCATATCCAGAGGTCCAAAAAGGTTCTGTAGAGGAACCTCAGAAGATGTAGGGACGGTTGGTGTTGAATGGCTATTTAGTTTTTTTCTTTCTTTTCTTGTTAAAGGAACTGAGGCTGGTTGTGAAACAGACGTTTAGGATTGTTTGTCAGGCTGACTCTCTGTCTGAGATCCAGCACTAGACTGAGTGACTTCGGAAATAATCTGATGGATTGAATCTTTGTCAACAGGATGTTTCGACTTGACCCATGTCAAGTCAGTCTGACATGAAATAGAGGACATTGCTACAGAACGAGTGACTGCAGCAGAGTAGGTTAAGTGAGAAGGAGTCGAGGTCTGATTTGTGAAGAGTTTCTTGGCATCTAGGTATGATAGGTTTTGTTCACTTTTAATTTTCATGATTTTTTATTCTTTTTGCCACGCAGGGCAGGACCTTGATGATGCAGGATGTTGGCCATGACAGTTAAAGCATTGTACATCATTTACACAGTCAGAGTTTTCGTGGGAGCCTCCACAACGATGACACACCACAGATTTGTGACAAGATTTTGACCCATGACCGAACTGTTGGCATTTGTAACATCGGAGTGGATTGGGGACATACACCTCCACTCCGATATTGATGTAACCTGCCTTAATTGATTGCGGAATCGATATACGCGCGAACGTCAAGAGATATGTGTTTGTATTTGTTATGACACCTTCTTTCTTGACAGTGAAACGTTTCACTGCAGTAACAGCTTGCTCTTCTAACTCTGCAGCAATATCCTCTTCCGACATGTCCGACAAGCAACGAGCCCGGTCGCAAACGATGCCTCTACAATAATTCAATGTTCTGTGCACAGACACAGCAACCTCAATATTGGCAAATGTTGTGATAGACAAAAGATTGAGAGATTGATGCCTCAGTGCACACTCAACCAGAAGTGAGCCACTACGAAGACGGGTGACATTTTTCACCTCTCCACAAATTCCAGATACTGCTTTAGAGATAGCAAACGGGTTCAGTTTAATGGGTAATTGATCCTTAGCCTCAATAACTAGGAATCTAGCCCAAGTATCAATGTTTGAAGAATTATTTCCATTTGATTGATCTTTATCCTCAATACGTCTCTTCTTTTCATTTCGAGAGGAACCAGATTGTTGTAGTGACATGATGAAAGAAAACTATTCCACACCCCTGCTCCCCACCCACCACCGAGTGACAACAAGGACGGTGTCAAATTGCACCGGATATCCAGGATGCTGACACCAGGGATACAGGGATGCTATACTCCAGAGAATATGACGCGAACAGCTGTATTTGTCTACCAATTTAATGCCAGACTGGTTCGGCCCATGACAAGAAATTGGAAACATACATCATTCGGAGGTCAACATCACCAGATTGGCCCATGAGCCACCGCCTTCTGGCGTAAGACTCTAGGCAATTTATTCAATCCAAATTGGAGAATTCACACAAGTAAGGTACGGCCAAGACCAAAATATACATTAAAAAACAACACAGGTGTGCATACACAATATTACGCACAGGGCCTGGCATGACCAGCCGATTGATAAGACCGGGCCCATCTTACCACCCGTCTAGGCGAAGAAAGGGTCGAAGTAGTGTGTTGGGCAAAGGAACACAGTTCCAGGAACCAGTGCCCTCAACTACCAGACTCCCGTCCTCCGCCGAAACATGGGACGCAACTCACGGCAAACGGGCTGCCCACTTTGGTCGCCTTGTACGACCAGCAATGGGGTGCTGTGGAATTATTCTGCCCCAGTTCCACACGGGGGAAAAGCTATTAGCGTTCCCCAGCACTCACCACGAGGAGGTTGCTCTTCACGAGTGCCAATTTTAGATGGACTCCGTGGAGATTCAGAGTCTCCCCAGCTTGTCGTGAACGGCCATAAATGTGATCAAAACCGCTGAATTGCTTGATGTATGGCATCGTATTCCAATTGCATGGATTGATTCTCTGGATGTCAATCATTGCATTGCCTGGTCTACATGCTGTCATTGACTGTGATTATGGAGGGTTACGCAACAAGCGACCAAACAGTTTATCTTGGATATATTGACCATAGAGATGCTTTCTGACCTAAACAATTTGTGCCGAGTTGGTCTCAAAATAGCGAGTTGGTCGGCTATCGATAGATATGCTTTCATAGCAATAACGAGAGAGGGGTATCGTGTATTGGGATCGATAGAATAATCATCTTAGATGTGTGTATATGTACTCAGTTCTTCTCAACTGATCACTGAAACTTCAGGGCGAAAATTTTCTTTTGTGAGTTCCAGATGCTTTCTCGGGTCGCAACGTTATTTTAACTTTGAGCAACGTCGCGACCAGGAATCAATCATCGTTCAACTTTAAAACAACGTTGTGTGCCTGCTGAGAGGTATATGTTTTATGGTAACTTTATTTGTTCGAGTATTTTTTGGGACAACGTATTTATAAAGGAATACAGCCTCAAACAAGCAAATAATGCTTGACATCAATAAAGCAGTGTCATAGATATAACGTAGTGGAAGAGAATAGGGCTTGGTGAGAGAGATTACTACACACTCAGATACCAGTTATGTTACAACCAGTTGTTTCCGAACCCGAGTAATTGACCCATCTTAGTCTTGAAGCTATAATTCATATATATTCGGATTATCAGAAGAATTAAACTTCTGCTTCAAGGCCGAGTTCTCGTGTAGTTTGTTTGTTTGTTTCTCGCCTACAGGTGGTTGTGAGAAATAAAATACCAACTATTCCCTCTCAGCAGTCTCGGGTACCAGGATAGGAAGCGTTGTATGTGGAACCTGTGCTTCTGAGTCATGATTTCTCAAGTTTTCTGTTTGTTTTCAACATGTCTACCATTGCAGAGAAGAAACTGCAGCTGTATGATGGGGGCATTCATCACATCGCCTGTGTACAACGCTGGCGACTAGCGGCGAAGTGCGCGGTCGGTGCATGGTTGAAGTGTCCACTGGCTCCAGACAGGGTCAACATCAGAGGTAAGGGTTTTGTTGAAACGTCCTACGGATCTTAACAGGGTTAATTCAGAGGCAAGGGTCTTGTTTGAGAATCTACCGGATCCAAACAATGTAAAGATCAGAGGTAATGTTTTTGTTGCAACGTCTACTATTCCAAACGGACTCAAGATCAGAGGTAAGGGTTTTGTTGGAGCATCCGCTGAATCCAAACGGAGTCAACCTCAGAGGTAAGTGTTTTTCTTGGAGAATCCACTAAATCCAAACGGAGTCAACATCCGAGGTAAGGGTTTTGTTGGAGCATCCACTGTATCCAAACGGAGTAAAGATGAGAGGTAATGGTTTTGTTTGAGAATACACTGGATTCAAACGGAGTCAACATCAGAGGTAAGGATTTTGTTGGCGCATCCAATGAATCCAAACGGAGTCAACATCAGACAGAGTCAAGATGAGAAGTAAGGTTTTTGTTGGAGCATCCTACGGATCCACCTCTGAATCACCAGTGTTGGAGTGTCCACATGCTTCAAACAAGGACTTGTGTTGAAATGTTCACAGAATTCAAATATAAACAAAATAGAGGTCAAGGTATTTTTGGAGCTTCAAACATGAAAAAAGCAGAGGTTAGAATTTCACTGGAGCATCCACAGGATCCAAAGAGGGACAGATTCAGAGTTTAGGGTTTGTCCACAAGTTTCATACAGGTTCAGAATCACAGGTAATGGCATTTCAAGTGTGTGAGTAGCGCTTAGTTTCCATCAAGTCGATCAATCAGCAGAAGTATTAGGATATTGTCACAGCTACACATATTCATCAGATGCTGAATTTACAGCACTATAAAAAAGCATTCATTTGGTCTTCTTACTGGAAAACATCCGAGGGTGATTGGATTTTGACCTTCCTGTCATTTGGTACAATAACCGTCAACATCAAGGTGAATGAAGTATGCATAGCCGGAAATATAAGGAAGACTCATCTCAAACCAATTGTGCTGCATCGATAATTAATCAGTTCATCAAACTGTGACATGCATGTCTGACTTTGTAGTTAGTTGTCCAGCACGCCACAAATTGCAGTCAGTTGCCCAACACACTGTTTCAATAAGTGATTGAGCTTCATGTTAAACATTCAGCTGAAGAAAAGGGATACACGACTTTCCAAGCTGAGGGGGGCCAGATCCACCTGAAGAGATACAATGTGGGACGTACATGGGACGGAGCCTTAGAGATGTGCAGGTCTGACGGCGCCACACTGGTGAAGATAGACACCGCAGAGAAACAGGACATCGTCGGGGGCTTGTTCAAATTCAAGGACCACAATAACAAAAGTAAGTGACATTGACAGCATAGCTTCTGATTTCTACAGGTTTCTGGTTTCAACATGTGTGAGACTAATAACTCCACAATATCTAAGTCTAAGCAACCCATTTGTCCTGTAAAAGGCGACTATGATTTTCGTAAGAGTCGAGAAACGCGATCGGGTGGTCAGGCTCGCTGACTTGGTTTGATGCATGTCATTGTATCTGAATTGCATAGATCGATGCTCATGATGTCACCTACTAGAGTGTCAGGGGACATGATTTGATTATTTACAGATCGCCGCCATATAGCTGGAATATAGCTGGAACAAAAGATGTGTCAGTTACACAAACCAATCAATCACAGCCTCTAGTCTGTCACAACTCTTGTATGTCCCCTCCCGTCAGTTATACAGTATCATAACTTACAAACAGTTCAATCACCACCTTCTGTAAAACATATTCTCCCGTCAGTCATACAGTCGCGTCAGTCACACCAACCAATAAGTCACACCATCCGGTCAAGCACATTATTTCGTCAGTCACACGCTCTCGTGATTTACACAAAACATTAAGTTTTATCACGCCCTCCCGCCAATCACACCAACAAATCAGTCACATCCACCCTCTGGTCACTACCTCCAGAAAAAAACAAAATCTCCAATACTGTCGAGTATTCGAGTATTGTCGAGTACTCCCCACACACACACCCCCCACCACCCACACCCCACCCCCACCCCCACAAACACACACTCGCCCGTCAGTCACACCTGCCCCTCATTCCCTCCAGTTGGTGTTTCAGAGGAATCCTGGATTGGACTGCGGGACACAACCAGGTCAAACGCCTACAGATGGACTGACGGTTCCGTCCCGACGTACACGAACTGGTACAAAGGGGAGCCCAGCTTTACATATAGAGGCCAGGACGAGGACTGTGTCCAGATCCTTTTACTGATGTTTGGGTCCGCATGGAATGATGCTGACTGCAGTAAATTACGCTGGTTTGTGTGTGAAATGTGATTTAAACATGTTCACCAAATAATGCCTGCAGCACCTGCCTATCCAATCATCGTTCATCAGGGTGGAATGTCAACAGACAGACAAGCATTTCAGTTATAGCATGGCGTGAGAAGTGATGCAGATCTTAGACATAAGCAACTTTTAACATACACATCTATCCCTCTTACATTTAACTCTCTGTCACTAAGTACCAGTGTAACTGACGGCACTAATATCCCGTGGAGATGGGGACAAGAAAGGGCAGATACCTTGTTGTGTGAAGGAGATGTCATGTCGATCTTTCACATACCCAGAAACATATCAGGGACTCATGGCCGAGTAGGGTGCAACCCATGGACAAAAAGGAATACCCCAAAGCCCAACCACAGATTAACTGTAGTCATATGAAACAAGCGCGAGTTGTTTAGCTTCTTTTGAGTAGTATATATATATATAAGACAGACCTACTTGTATACTATCGAGTTGTTTCAGTTAGCAATTTCAAACTTAATGTTAACTAAATATAACCTTTAAATTAAAGTATTATGCTACTTTTGTTTTATACAAAGTCATTAGATCAGATTATAAATTTGTTTGAGTTGATTGGAAAATGTTCGTCATTCAGTTTGCGTCCATGTTTAATCAGTCAGGGTTGCCTATCGTGGAATTTCAATTCCTGCTATAGAACCCGGCTTTTCGCGGGCTTTGGCAAAGTCACTGGAGCCCGCGTAAAAAGACTTATAACATCCTGTGTACTGTGATTCCCTGCCTTCATTACCGCCAGGAGACACGTCAAGTTGAATGTGTGTAAACTTGAATGTATGTGATATAAAAACTGATTGTTTGATTGAAAGTTATTTTGGAAATTTCAAAATTTTAGTGTTTTTATGTTTTCAGTGTATTTTATTGGTTACCAAAGATTGTAACTGAGTTACTTAGTTATTGTTGAGATTCCGTAGAAGCTCATTGCGTTGTATTTGGACTGTTATTAGTCGTCAGGAATGTTGTGCAATTTAATCTAAGCAGTCAGGAAGTTGCTTTACTAGTATTTAGATGCTACAGAGGGGTGTAAACTTCCACAAACGGCGAGACTGGTCTCGCATTGTATAGGGTCTTACAGCATTGGACAAGTGGGTCAAGAGTACGTGTGCCTGATTGTGTGTCTCATACCTATCTTCATCAAGTCAAGACAAGCTTTCATGTGAGGATCGCCGATCGTCCCTAAATTCCTTGCCTAGCCCATGTCGGAAGCTTGACCACTGTCACTGTTGGGTGAATATATATTATTATCACTGACATCAGCTAATCACCTTTGTATTTTGTATTTGACACTGACCAATGCACTTGGCTTGTTTTTCTAATGACCGGATGCCTTTGTGATGTGTGATTTTTATCCTCTAATGAAGCTATAATGATTGTGGGTGAACTTTGGCACCTTCTCATAGAGGTTACCAATGCATGGGAAAAATTATAACGTAGATATAAATCATTCCCGGCATTAACCAGGTGAGGACAAAATGTGGTAAAAACAAAATTAACACATAGAGGCGGCGTAAATAAAGTTGTTTCGTTATTTTCTTACGCCTTAATGCCAGATAACATTATCAAAACATAAATTGGTTTTGCAAATTCTGAAAACACGGGAACAGAATATCCTTTACACACTATATTGCCTGTAAGATTCACTGTCCACAGGTGTTTACATGTATATTTCATCGTTTCTACTGTTCTTTATAGGAAATAAAATTACACTGTGGTGTCATGGCTATTGCTGCGTATTTGACTCCCGGCCTTCATTACAACGAGGTGACTTGTATTTGTTTTCTGTTTAACATGGCACTGAGCAATATTCCAGCTATAGGTTAGTTGGTTGGTTGGTTTGTTGTTTAACGCCGCACTGAGTAATATTTCAGCTATATGACGGTTGTCTGTAAATAATCGAGTCTGAACCAGACAATCCAGTGATGAATATCATGAGCATCGATCCACGCAATGGGGTTGATGTCATGCATCAACCAAGTCAGTGAGCCTGACCACCCGATCCCGTTAGTCGCCTTTTACGATTCGCCTTTTACGACAAGCATAGTCACCTTTTACGGCAAGTTGGGTTGCTGGAGACCTATTCTACCCTGGAATCTTCATGGGTCTCCACATATAGGAAGACAGTCTGTGAATAATCAATCCTGAACCAACAAATCCAGTGACATCATGAGCATGGATCTACTCAATTGGGATGCTATGACATGCTATCAGTCAAGTCAGCGAGTTTAACCACCCGTTCCCATTAGTCGCCTCTTACCATACACATTGGTTGCTGAAGATCTATCCTTACCGGTCTGTATTATTCACGGGTCTGGTGACCTGTGAAATGGCGTCTATGCTTAGTGTTGGAACAATGTCATGAATACTGGATGATTTGTGAGTACTTGTTTTGTTGTAAATGTTGTAAAACACACCCGATAATGATGTTACACATATATTAGAATTTGAATAGTTAAAGGATGATGCAGAAAGGGGAAGGCAACTAAGAAGAAGGATACAGTGGGAGAAGCCGTCTAAGTATTTTGTCACATGAAAAACTGAACTTACACACATAAGACCATTAATAATTTAACAAATGCCAATGGTGAAGGTGTCACTGAAGGATACAAAAGACTGCCTGAACAGAAAGAACTTTACAAAATCCTGTATTCATCTAGAAGTTCTAATAGGGAACACACTTTTGAAATTAGACAAGTATTAGATGGTGTCTATAATCATGTGCAGATAGCATTAAAAAACCTGCTGAAATGTTTTAACTCCTAAAAGTTGTAAACAAAAGACCTGGCCTCATTGTGTCCCCAGTTTTTTATTCTTTTGGAATGACTTAGGTGTATGAGTTTTTAGGTATATATACAAAATTCAGATTAATCAGATAATCTCAACTATAGTTAGAGGAATAATTGCATGTATTCTGAAGACAGAAGGCCTCTGAAAAACAGGCGACTGATTTAACAAATTTAAGCTCTTGTATAGAAACCAAAATTAAGAAAACTTTAAAATTAAAATGCAAAACATTAATTCATAGTAACCAAACCGACTTCATACCTTGTCCATGGATAAGTGAAACTGACAGAAGCATGTATAATATCATGTGTGTAGCTGAAAGAGCAAAATAGGGCAGGACGTTTATTACTGTGTGTTTTTGATGTGGGTTTTGACACAGTTTCCAAACGATTTATTGACTTGGTTTTGAAATAATTTGGTTTCAGACCAAAAATCATGAAATGGGTTAATATCTTAAATAAGAATGCATCATAGACCATACCAAATGGATATCTCTCCAGTTTCTTTTCAGAACCAAAGAGGATGTAGGCAAGAAGACCCACTTTAACCATTACCTATTTTGCTTGTAGCTTAGATACCAGGAATAATGATTAGGAATAAGAAAGGCTTAAAAGGAATAACAATAAACGATGTGTAGTATAAATTAGGTCAATATCTAGATGATACACAGTTATGTTTAGATGGCTCTGAAGAGTGTCTTAGAGCTGCATAGATACTTTGAATATATTTTACAGAAACTCTGGCGTTGAGGAAGATATAGACATAACTAAAGCTTTATGGGTAGGTTCAATGGCAGGAAGCAGCACCAAACTCTGTTAGGACACAACAATATACTGGCATGAGGGAAACTTTGAAGCTTTGGAATAATATTTAGTCCCACATTACCAGTCTTTGGGTAATCAATACAAGAACAAACCTCGAACATATTAACATATTATTGGGGAGCTAGAAAAAAACACATTGAATATTAAAAGGTAAAATCACATTTAATAAGACTCTGGCTCAGTCAACGTCAGCACTTCCAACCCCCCCTAGAGGTTATATTGCAAATTTGAATACACTTTTCTATATATTCATTTGGAATAATAAATCAAACCAAAGCAATCCGCTTTGAATAGGAAAAATGAAGAAGCTGGTCTGAGAATCATTGAAACCTGCAAATTTATTAATTCGTTGATTTATTGATTTATGTTTAAGGAGAAGTTTACAAAAAACGACCTTGTAAACATTAAAGCATTTTCAAACAAAGTATATTTTCATTGTTGGGTGCAAATATTGTTAAGTTTCTTACTTTTGAAAATATAATTTTATCTTAAGGCATTGGTTTGATAAGGGTATTGATTGTTTAAAAGACTTATGTAGCAACAACATAACTTTAACATTTCAAGAATTTCAAGACAAATTTCAAAGCAAAGGTACTTTACTTCATTTATTAAGTATCCCTAAATCATGGAAAAAATGATGAATGGCAGATTTTGAATCACAGCTAACTTATACAGAAGTAACATTGTGAGAGACTTGTTGATAAGAACAAAAGGCTCCAGAATATTATATCATAAACTCATAGCAACAACTAACGTTTCTCTGATGTGTGATAAATGGAAAAATCTTAATCTAAGCATTTTGTGGAAAATGTACTAACTGTAAAATGTGTACCAATGATGCTAATCTAATAGATTTCCACTACAAATTCATAAATATAGCTCTTTATACCATAAAGTAATGATTGAAAATACATTTAATTGATGACAGTATATGCTCTGAATCTCAAAACATACCTTATATATGTAGAATGTGTTTTTGGAATGTTGGTACCTGAACACGAAACTTCTTTTTGCAAAACAATGCATTCACCAGTCAAGCATTATACTTTCCTTTCTCCATAAAAAAGAAATATTGGAAGATGTGTGTAAAATTGAAAACAAATTATTGCAATGAAAAATAGTGGTATTAATAAATTTGACAAAATGGAAAGAATTATCAGCCTGCTTATTTGTTTACATCAGTCAGTCGAATATATGTATGGTGCCCATATCTTGATTATGTTTTAAGATCCTATGAATTGCTACACTTATATACCTCATGTATCTATGTTACAGATATATCTCTCTAAACTCTGTTAGGACACAGATATATCTCTAATGAATTGAAACATAAAATATTTAACACAAAAGAAAAAAAAAGGTTTTGTACAT